ATCAGACAAAATAGACTTTAAAATAAAGACTATTATGAAAGACAAGAAGGACACTACATAATAATCAAGGGATCAATCCAAGAAGAAGATATAACAATTGTAAATATTTATGCACCCAACATTGGAGCACCTCAATACAGAAGGCAAACACTAACAGCCATAAAAGGGGAAATGGACAGAAACACAATAATAGTAGGGGACTTTAACACTCCACTTTCACCAATGGACAGATCATCCAAAATAAAAATAAATAAGGAAACACAAGCTTTAAATGACACATTAAACAAGATGGACTTAATTGATATTTATAGGACATTCCATCCAAAAACAACAGAATACACTTTCTTCTCAAGTGTTCATGGAACACTCTCCAGGATAGATCATACCTTGGGTCACAAATCAAGCATTGGTAAATATAAGAAAATTGAAATCATATCAAGTATCTTTTCTGACCACAACGCTATGAGACTAGATATTAATTACAGGAAAAAAAACTGTAACAAAATACAAACCCATGGAGACTAAACAATACATTGTGAAATAACCAAGAGATCAATGAAGAGATCAAAGAGGAAACCAAAAAGTACCTAGAAACAAATGACAATGAAAACACAATGACCCAAAACCTATGGGATGCAGCAAAAGCAGTTCTAAGAAGGAAGTTTATAGTATTACAATTCTACCTTAAGAAACAAGAAACATCTCAAATAAACAACCTAACATTACAACTAAAGCAATCAGAGAAAAAAAAACAACAACAAAAAAAAAAAACCCAAAGTTAGCAGAAGGAAAGAAATCATAAAGATCAGATCAGAAATAAATGAAAAAGAAATGAAGGAAACTATAGCAGAGATCAATAAAACTAAAAGCTGGTTCTTTGAGAAGATAAACAAAATTGATAAAACATTAGCCAGACTCATCAAGAAAAAAAGGGAGGACTCACATCAACAGAATTAGAAATAAAAAAGGAGAACTAACAACTGACACTGCAGAAATACAAAGGATCATGAGAGATTACTGCAAGTAACTATATGCCAAAAAAATGGACAACCTGGAAGAAATGGACAAATTCTTAGAAAAGCACAACCTTCCAAGACTGAACCAGGAAGAAACAGAAAATATAAACAGACCAATCACAAAGAATGAAATTGAGGCTGTGATTAAAAATCTTCCAGCAAACAAAAGTCCAGAACCAGATGGCTTCACAGGGGAATTCTATCTAACATTTAGAAAAGAGCTAACACCTATCCTTTTCAAACTCTTCCAAAATATAGCAGAGGGAGGAACACTCCCAAACTCATTCTACGAGGCCACCATCACCCTGATACCAAAACCAGACAAAGATGTCACAAAAGAAGAAAACTACAGGCCAATATCACTGATGAAAATAGATGCAAAAATCCTCAACAAAATACTGGCAAACAGAATCCAACAGCACATAAAAAGGATCATACACCATGATCAAGTCGGGTTTATCCCAGGAATGCAGGGATTCTTCAATATATGCAAATCAATCAATGTGATACACCATATTAACAAACTGAAGGAGAAAAACCATATGATCATCTCAATAGATGCAGAAAAAGCTTTCGACAAAATTCAACACCCATTTATGATAAAAACTCTCCGGAAAGTAGGCATAGAGGGAACGTACCTTAACATAATAAAGGCCATATATGACAAATACACAGCCAACATTATTTTCAATGGTGAAAAACTGAAATCATTTCCACTAAGATCAGGAACAAGACAAGGTTGCCCACTCTCACCACTATTATTCAACATACTTTTGGAAGTTTTAGCCCCAGCAATCAGAGAACAAAAAGAAGTAAAAGGAATACAAATTGGAAAAGAAGAAGTAAAACTGTCACTGTTTGCAGATGACATGATACTATACATAGAGAATTCTAAAGATGTTACCAGAAAACTACTAGAGCTAATTGATGAATCTGGTAAAGTAGCAGGATACAAAATTAATGCACAGAAATCTCTTGCATTCCTATACACTAGTAATGAAAAATCTGAAAGAGTAATTAAGTAAACACGTCCATTTAATATTGCAACAACAACAATAAAATACCTAGGAATAAATGTACCTAAGGAGACAAAAGACCTGTATGCAGAAAACTATAAGACACTAATGAAAGAAATTAAAGATGATAGAGGGCTTCCCTGGTGGGGCAGTGGTTAAGAATCCGCCTGCCAATGCAGGGGAGATGGGTTCAATCCCTGGTCCGGGAAGATCCCACATGCCGCATAGCAACTAAGCCCATGCGCCACAGCTACTGAGCCTGTGCTCTAGAGCCTGCGAGCCACAACTACTGAAGCCCACATGCCTAGAGCCCATGCTCTGCAACAAGAGAAGCCACAGCAATGAGAAGCCCACGCACTGCAACGAAGACCCAACACACCCAAAAATAAATAAATTTATAAAAATAAATAAATAAAGATGATAGAGACAGATGGAGAGATATACCATGTTCTTGGATTGGAAGAATCAACATTGTGAAAATGACTATATTACCCAAGAAATCTACAGGTTCAATGCAATCCCTATCAAACTACTAATGGCATTTTTCACAGAACTAGAGCAAAACATTTCACAATTTGTATGGAAACCCAAAAGACCCTGAATAGCCAAAGCAATCTTGAGAAAGAAAAACGGAGCTGGTGGAATCAGGCTCCCTGAGTTCAGACTATACTACAAAGCTACAGTAATCACGACAGTATGGTACTGGCACAAAAACAGAAATATAGATCAATGGAACAGGATAGAAAGCCCAGCGATAAACCCACGTACATACGGTCACCTTATCTTTGATAAAGGAGACAAGAATATACAATGGAGAAAAGACAGCCTGTTCAATAAGTGGTGTTGGGAAAACTGGACAGCTACATGTAAAAGAATGAAATTAGAACACTTCCTAACACCATGCACAAAAATAAACTCAAAATGGATTAAAGACCTAAATATAAGGCCAGACACTATCAAACTCTTAGAGGAAAACATAGGCAGAACACTCTATGACATAAATCACAGCAAGATCCTTTTTGATCCACCTCCTAGAGAAATAGAAATAAAAACAAAAATAAACAAATGGGACTTAATGAAACTTAAAAGCTTTTGCACAGCAAAGGAAACCATAAACCAGACGAAAAGACAACCCTCAGAATGGGAGAAAACATTTGCAAATGAAGCAACTGACAAAGGGTTAGTCTCCAAAATATACAAGCAGCTCATGCAGCTCAATATCAAAAAAACAAACAACCCAATCCAAAAATGGGCAGAAGACCTAAATAGACATTTCTCCAAAGAAGATATACAGACTGCCAACAAACACATGAAAGGATGCTCAACATCACTAATCATTAGAGAAATGCAAATCAAAACTACAATGAGGTATCACCTCACACTCGTCAGAATGGCCATCATCAAAAAATCTACCAAAAAAAAAATCTACAAACAATAAATGCTGTAGAGAGTGTGGAGAAAAGAGAACCCTCTTGCACTGCTGACGGGAATGTAAATTGATATAGCCACTATGGAGAACAGTATGGAGGTTCCTTAAAAAACTAAAAATAGAACTACCATATGACCCAGCAACCCCACTACTGGGCATATACCCTGAGAAAACCATAATTCAAAAAGAGTCATGTACCACAATGTTCGTTGCAGCTCTATTTACAATAGCCCGGAGATGGAAACAACCTAAGTGTCCATCGACAGATAAATGGATAAAGAAGATGTGGCACATGTATACAATGGACTATTACTCAGCCATAAAAAGAAACAAAATTGAGTTATTTGTAGTAAGGTGGATGGACCTAGAGTCTGTCATACAGAGTGAAGTAAGTCAGAAAGAGTAAAACAAATACCATATGCTAACACATATATATGGAATTTAAAAATAAATGGTTCTGAAGAAACTGGGGCAGGACAGGAATAAAGATGCAGACATAGAGAATGGACTTGAGGACACGGGGAGGGGGAAGCGTAAGCTGGGATGAAGTGAGAGAGTGGCATGAATGTAAAATAGATAGCGAGTGGGAAGCAGCCTCATAGCACAGGGAGATCAGCTCGTTGCTTTGTGACCACCTAGAGGGGTGGTATAGGGAGGGTGGGAGGGAGACGCAAGAGGGAGGGGATATGGGGGCATATATGCACGTATAGCTGATTCACTTTGTTGTACGGCAGAAACTAACACAATATTGTAAAGCAATTATACTCCAATAAGGATGTGAAAAAAATGTATCAGACACAGTTCTAAGGCATCTTATAAATATTAACTAATTTAATTCTCATAGAGATCAGTAAATAAATACTCTTATTTTCATCATTTTACAGATGAGAAAACTGAGACACAGAATCACATCAGTCTGGTGAGATTTCATAACCAGTAACACGCCCTGTCTCTGGTGCATGGAGTAGCCTAAGGAAAGAAGATCCCAAGGATTCCCACAAGGAACAAGGGGGTACTTATCACCCTCTTGAGTTGAGCTAAACTCCCATTAACTTCCCAAAGGTAAACGACCTGGCTTATTTGTTAGCAAAAAGCCTGGATGATATCTATGGCCCTTTCAACTATATCAGTCTGTGATTATAACACAGACACAAATGAACACCTTTTGAAATGTGTTCTAGTCTGATGCTGGAGTTCAAGTGAATACTTTGAGAGCATAGGTCCTGCTCAGTCCTCAGAATCTGCTTTATAGATGCAGTTGTCAGTTTCACAGGGTGGGGCTTCAGGCCTAGACGTGGCAAATTTTTAAGGAGGGAAGCCAGGAGGATGTTCCCTTGACACTACCACTGATTTCAGAGTGTGGCAAGGTGCAGCCCAGTAGATACCTTAACATCCATTTATGTTCACCACCCCCTCCCACCATTTGTGACATTTTCTCAAAGACCTTAAACATTTGTTTAAAGCAATTTCCGTCTGTGACATTCCCAGGAAATCAGAAAAATGTGACAGGGAAAATACAGCAGACACGGATTTACTCACCGAAGGATAAACAATAGACTCTAAATTCAAGTTCAGTGTAGCTTGGGAAGAAAAAATCACAATAATCATGAAGCACAAAGTGGTTCTCCTTGGGGATTTCATGTCTTCAAGTTTGAGTTGCCTTGCCTGAAATGGAAATAGGATGGTTTAGAGATACAGTAATTCATTTATCAAACACAGAAAGAACTAGCAAACCCTGTCTCAAAGTTTGCACTACAAAAGGACCTTTTCAGTGAAGGGGAGAAAGGAAAAAGCATAAATACATCAAATGTAGACAACAGTGTCTGCTCCAGACCGCGGGTGAGTGAAGGATGGCGTTAGGAAGGATGGGGGTTGGGAGGGCTGGGGATGGTACCTGCAAACAGCACAAAGATGGCAGATGTCTGGGTACCTTTCCTAGAGACATAGAGAAGGAGAGAGGGAAGGAAAGAGAAAGGAGAAAGAGGAAAGAGAGGGAAAGCAAGAAAAAGGGAGAGACTACTCAGTACAAAGTACTTTTAACCTTGTGGTTCAGTACATAGCATATGAAAAAAAGGATTCAGAGAACAGTACTTTCCTTTGCTATGTGCGACACAGTCTGATATTTTCAATTCTATTCTATTATCTTACACTATTTTTTTCTTTGAATTCTGGCAGTAAACCATTCCATTGACTTTATGACCCACATTAATGGGCTATGACCCATTAGTATGAAAAATTCTGGACTCAGTCATAAAAATACAAGTTGTATTTTAGAGATTTTTAGAGTGTATAATATGGAACATTGACATATATCTCAATATATTGATTTTTTATAGCTATCTCTTTACAATGCTAGTAATGAAAACAAACTTTTTCGGCGACCAGATGAATCATTGTTGCATTTGAAAGTTCGAGTATCACGTGGAATAATCCCACCTCTCATGGGTCTGAGGACCACGACAAACTACTTTGTGTAGATTCCTTTCCTTACTGACATTTTTATGTCCATGTGTTTTTGTGAAAAGAATACTTGACTAAGGAGATATGGGTTAGGATCCAGGATGACTACAAACTAATTGCATCCTTGACACTTCTCTGCATCCAGTTTGCTCATCTATGAAATGGGGATACTCAGACCTCCTCTAATTCTCTCACAGACTTCTCTGAGGCTCAGATGTGACTAAAAGCCATGCAGAGCTCCAGGGATGCCGGCTGCAATGGTTTCACCCTGACCTTAGTGGAATCCAAAGAGCCGCCATCAAGGACAGCCCTTGGTCCAGGCGTTGCCAGGGGCACCAGGGGACCTGGCCAGGATAACACACGGAGAGACAGCCAAGACTTACATGCCAGGAAAGACTGTGTTTCAATCACCAGCTGTCGCTGTCTCCTTTTCCTCTTCCCCAGTGGAAAAGAAGGAAGAATAAGGCCCTGGAAAACTGAGCCAATTTGCAGATCTGGCAATCAAATACATTTTTAAAATTCTACAACTCAACGGCTTTTGGAAAACGCTTTGCAATTTAGGTTACAGGAATAGATATTTAAGGCCAGATGCATCTACTGCAGGGAAAGCATAACCACTCATTCCTTGTTGAAGGGAGGCGGCTTTTGTGAGTGTGGAGCAGGCTGATTTAGCCTGGGGATAACAACTGTTTTGGGGATGAATCGGGTATTTTGGAGGGAATTTAATCTTTTTAGGCATTGACTTAGTGCACTGGACTGGCTGGTTCCATTCTGAGGCAGTTAATCAAGGAGACGAATAGTAACTGAATAGTTAATGAGCCTCCCTTAGTACGTGACAGCCATGGAGGGACTCGGGCATTAAAGGAATTCAAGCTGCCTCCACGTCTTTCTCTGGTCCCAATGTTGGCCTTTGTCAGAGTTAGCGAGGATTATCTTGGTCATGATAATGACCAAATAAATGGTCACAACCTAAACGGTCACGTCTGGCCCTTTTGTATAATAGCCACTGGCCAATACTGCCCACTGTCCCCATCTTCCCCCAGCCTCCCTGGACATAGCTCTGGATGAAACTGACATCCTTTTCTCTGTTGGCCTATTTTGTAGCCACAAAATCACAATTCAGTAGAAATACGGATACAGGAAGGACTGCACTGTGGGGAGGGGATGTTCTCTGGATACAGAAGAAAGGAAACAGCTACATACAGTCATCAGTTACACGGTAAGGGTGAAGGGCGGGTCCTCCACTTGAAGGAAGAAGGCCATCGTTTCGAGGGAGAGGTAATATTAAAAATATTTGACAACCAATATGGCGCGAGCCTGGCCAGTCTGAACAGCGATACCAACTGAAGATCAATTCAGTTTTTAGGGTTCCTGCTATGTTTGGGGAGAGCCTTCTGAAGACACACTATTCTCACCTATATCAATAAGGTCTCAGTAACCGTCCAGCTGTTCTCATCAGTGAGGAATCCAGTGGAGGCTGTTTAACTTGGCTAACAGGGAAGAGAATCCAACGAAAAGCCCAGAGTAGCAGCCCACGTCAAGGCAATGTATCTTCAGTAGGGCCCCTTTAATGGTAAAGCCCTGAGAAGTTTATATTTATTCCAAATTCCCGGAGTAAATGGCAGAGCACAACTAAGAAACTCAGAGACAAGCAGAGGCAGAAAGGGAAAGAAACATATCTGATGTCATTTCCAATTTCCTTCTCCTTTTACATTATAAATTCTGGACACTGTCTACTAAAACTCACCAACCTATATGAGCCTGCTGTGTCTTAGAAAAAGCTGGGAGATATGACCTCATGCTCAGGAGTAACCCTGGGGAGATGAGCAACTTCCTGGTTCCTCAGACTCTGTCTTCCTGTCTGTGAAGTTAGAAGAGAGGGGGAGGGAAATCAAGCACCCTGACATCATAAGCCTCCTATGGCAGGAAGAAGTCGCCAGGACTCTCAGCATCGCTGCACTTGGAGGACGAGGGCCTGGGTTCCTTGGAGCAGTCTTTAACAGCATTCTCTTTTGGAGGGATGTGCACCAGAAACATTCATTGTGAAACTGACCTGAAACACATCAGGGAACGGTTCTCCCAAATCTTCTAAACAAACAGTGCTTCAGATCAGCTGGTCTCCAGGAAACCCTTCATCAGCCCTGAGCTGCCGGCGATTTGATGGAGGGGGTGGGAGCAGGAGTGAAGAGGCTTGTACACCTTGCAAGTTTAGAAGCCTGTTCTTGAAATGACCACTTCTGTGTGGTCTGATGACCCAATGTCATCATCAATTTATGATTCCAAGCTCCGTATAAATAGGGCAATCGTGAGACTCGTTCTGGGAATGATTTCCTGAGCTCTACACAACTCTGCCCTCCTGTGCTCTCTGGTGTTCTCGGCCCCTCTCCCCTGGGGACCCCAGCCTGGATACTCTCCTTGGCTCCCCCTGGGGAGAAGGAAGGCAAGAGGTGAAAGCAAGCCCACATTTGATCAGCCTCTGCCCAGGTGCCTCGTCCTTCCTCCAGCCCAGGGCTCCGCTCCTGGCTTGGTCCCTGAGCACAGCCCCTCCCCTTAACATTGCCTGGGTACCACCACCCTGGAAGGAAGTTCCCTGGAGTATTTGAACATCATCTGCTTAAATGGTTCTTATCCCTGCCTCCACGTCAGAACAAGCACCTGGGGAATTTCTCTTTTTTTTTTTTTCTCTTTTCATTTGTTTATTTGTTGTTTTAATATCATGCCAGACCAATTAAATTAGCATTTCTGGCAGGGTAGGGAACTGAGCATCTGTATCTGTCCCAGCTGTTTCTGATGCAGAGGGAGGTTTGAGGTCTGCAGGTCCACATTTTCAGCATCCCATTGCTCTATCCACACTCCTGTCACTTTCCATCACCAGCCTATGGTCCTCTGTCTACTAAAGAAACTACATAGAAACAGAATCTTAAGGGGGATGCATTTAGGAGGCAGTCAATCAATGGTGGATGAATGAATGGTTTCATGGGATTATGGACTCAAATGTGATCTACCAATAGTTTTTGATGCAATTAAGCAGCCAAGTCTGTTACTTGAGGTTGTATTATACATCTCACATAGAATCAATCATGGTGCACAATTACGAACCAACAAACACTGAGAACTTTCTGTAGGCCTAAATTCGTGCCATGCATTCATGGATCAACATGAGTCATGGTCCTTGTTCCTAAGAAGTTCTCAATCTCATCGGGAAGGCATGCAACAGAGACTGGAAGAAAAAATGTAAGTTTAAAAGATGCTATTTACTAATCGCCTGCTAGGTACCAGGCACAGCCCTCAGTGCCATTAATATGTTCATTCACTTAATTTGCCTCTCACAATAAGCCTGTGAGGTAGGTGTTTTAATCCTAATTCATAGATGAGAACGTGAAGGGTCTCAGAGAGGTTACCGTACTGACCCAGGCCGCCCAGCTAGTAAGTAACAGAGTGAGAATCGCCCCCAACTTGGCCTGTCTCCAAAGTGAGCTGCAGTGTGAAGGGATGAGATGACTGGAGGAAGTTGGACAGGGGGAAGTTGGGTGAGTTTGGGAGTGACCGAGGTTGCCAGCCAGACCCTGAAGGATGGGTAACGTTTTAATGTAAAACGGGAAAAGAAAAGAGAATCCCAGGCAAAGGAGGAGAGCCTAAGCAGAGGCCCTTGTCTCTGTTTAAAGGGAACAAAGCAGCCCAAGGGGCGATGTTTAGCTGTCCCTTGAATTCCTTGTGGACGTTGCCTTGGTCAGCTTGTCCAACCACTGTGACGAAGGCTCAGCCACGGTCCCTGGGTGTGCATTGCTCTCCTGAGCGATCACCATCAACAGAGAAGGCAGAGCTATTGTTTGCTCTGACTTGGAAAGAAAATGAATGTAAGGACATTAGGGGTCCAGTGATTCTCTCCTTCCTATAACAGACTGTAGTGGAAAGAGCACTAGCTTTGATGCAAAACAGGCCTATGTTCTGATTCCAGCTCCATCACTTAGTAACTGTTGGTGAGACACTTAACCCCATGGAGCCTCAGTTTCCTGATGTGAATAATGGGGATCACAGTACCCGCTTTGCAGCATTGTTGTAAAGATTAGAGATTGTGCCCACGAAGCACAAGAAAGCCTGGTCACAGCTGAATTTCTTAAGGGCTGAGTTGTGTTCTCCAAAATTAATGTGTTGAATTCCAACAGCCCAGCAGCTCAGAATGTGACCTTATTTGGAGACAGGGT